AATGCAGTCATAGTGACAACAGATTATATTCTTCATGTAGCTCATTCAGCTCCTTCAAATATCTCCAAAGATTTCTTCTCAGAATTCCTGCTGTTTCCAGATGGACAAACTAACTTTATGAAATATGAATCAAAGGTTTCAGTGTTCCATTGAAAAAACCAAGAACAACACGAAGATTTCAGAAAATGTTCATAAAGAATTTTCTGTTAAAAAAGGTACCTAGACAGATGATAACAGTTCTTTTGTGTCTGCAACTGCTAATGACCTTGATTTATGTGTTTGATGGCCTGCTTCACAATTTTTTCCCGTTCATTTCTTTAACATGGCAATTTTCAACCCTTCTGACCTTCAGCCAGCCCAATTAAACTATATGCTTAAAGCATATATTTAATTTGTTTTAAAGTTTAAACACATGATAATCAATACAATTTGACATTTATTCCAGAACATTTATATTTTAAATTCCACTTAACATGTACTTGGCATGCTATGACTAATCTCAGAGAAACGGCTGGTGTAGACTGCTTCAGGCAACAACAGCTTTAGCTGCTACTGCTAAATTTATCTTCAGTTGGGAAGCAAAACCTTTAGGAAAGCAGCTTATTCCTTTGTAGAGATACAAAATAGAAACTAAGTTGAAAAATACCTCAACAGCTAACACTAAACACCACCTTGCCAGTATATAGTTAAAAAATATTTTTAGCTAAAAAAAAAAAAAAAAAAAAGTGAATCAAATTCCTACAAGCAATGACATAAACACAAAAAATTTATATGTAAATTCTCTTAACAGTGAGTCCCCATATGAACAGAGATAGTTCATGAAATTAACTAAAAGTAAATACTCTTTGAATAGGGAAAATAGCAGTGATATTTTCAGATTCTTGCAAACCAGGAAATAATTAAATTTGTAACTGGACAATACTGAAAATCTATTCAAAATTTTGTCTATGATATAAATTAATCATGCCTATGAAATCAAGTAATTTGTGTTATTTCTGTCTAACCAGCAAAGCTGGTTAATCCTGTATTTCTCACATTTAGTGACAAGGTCTTGGCCAAGGTTATCATCTTACTTTGTCTTCATATATAATGCTTCCAAAATATAGAAACTGCATATTGTCGAAAAAAATCCTGCTTCATTTTATGATAGGAATTAACTGTACATGAATATGTACATTTTGATTTACTTCTTATATATTCCTTCCTTCCTTCCTTCCTTCCTTCCTTCCCTCCCTCCCTCCCTCCCTCCCACACTCAGGCTATAAAAAAGCCTTGGAGACACAATTTAGCACCATTCATACTGGTATGGAGTACACATTTCCCTGCAGTTTTTTGTCTCTACAGTCTAGCAGCCATAAACCAGAGGTGCAACACTGGGTAGCACTTCTTCATTTTGCTCTCAGAAAGGGCTTTTGTAAATTGCCCACAGAACTTCAGCTGTCTCCTAACTTCATGCATGTTATAAGATGAAAACACATCCTCTTGGCTTTGATAATCAACAAAGCAGTGATACTAGCATTGAAACATGGTCCGTGACTATGTAAATTGTTATCTCACTGATATGTATTTGGCAGTAATACCTCTTCCACCTGCTTCTTTCAAAATTGCAAACTCACTTTACATTGATTTCTAGGTTTTATTCAATCCTAACTTTACACTTAATTATAAATAGAAGACAAAATCAAAAAAATTACACGACACTTTATCAGCATCTGTAGAGCACCTCAGATTGTTTCCGATTCCTCTATACAACTCTTCAAAAATTCACTTAAGTCATTCTTTGTAAGCTGGAGGGCAAATTTTCATGGGAACCATACAGCTTCCTTTATTACTATGAAATTATGTATCTCCATTCTTTTAGGTGATGAATCTCCATGCTTGATCCTGTCAAGAAAACTCAGGTGCTTAAAAACCAACAAATGATAAAAAATGATAGTGAAAGTAGCTAAGTATGCTCCTAAAAACAATTTGCAGTCACACAGACAGACTTGCAGTCTAAAATTTTCAAAAAATTAAATGTATGTCTGTATAATGCATTACTAGCACAACGTAGAATTAAGCTGGTTTCAAATAAACTTATGAATTGTTTAGCACAGACCTTTGGCTTTCTCAGTCAAAATTATTATACTCAGAAAAGAGATAAATTAGCTCTGGCTTGCTATGTGCTATCATGACTAGGCTGCATCAAATAGCTATGTACCTTACCATCCCAAAAGACATCAGTGCCATGGAGACAATGCTAATTTTGCAATAACCTGTTTACTTCATGTTTTGTTGACAGAACACAATCAGCAACTGAAACAGACCACCAAGGAAGGACCTTCTTTTGTATGGAAGATGCCTTTCACAGATGATTTCTTCCAAGTGTGCATGGAAAGCAAAACTATTTAAACATACTCTGCAGTAATCTATCACTAGAGTAAAAGGGATACATAGATTATAGATTTATTTGCCTTGTTTAAGTACAGCAGACTAGTGCATCAGGTCTGAAAATGCATTTCAATGAAGTATAGCTAACTGAAAATTCATTGCCTGTTTCTAATATTTCATTTTATTTAAAGAAAGAAATCTTCAGAAAGTTGTCAGGAAGTTAGTAATCTGAATTTATCTCAAATCTGGGTAAAGGTAGATCTTATCTTTCATTCTTCCATTTCTTGATCTCTAGCTAGTGGAAGGACACAATGGGCCTGAATAATTTTAATTATGCCACCAAAAAAGCAGTTTGGCAATTGGAGATTGTGATGTAGAGTGGCAGTGTGGCCACAGAGGTTTCTCTGTCCCCTTTAGAGGAATACTTGAGTAGTTGACTATGCTGCTTTTGTAGCTTTCTTGTACTATGAATTAGTTTAAAACAGCTGTTTTAGGTACCAGAACATGCACCACGATTTGAGTATTTGTAGCTCTCCTCTCCATATCAAATAAACCCTAAATAAAAAATTACCACGAGCTCACTCCCACATCTTTGGGCAGACAGCTGGGCCTGAAACAGTATTGCAATTCTCATTTTAAATTATGTGTGTGGGCTGAACCAACTAGTATGTTGGTACTGATGAACTGGCAGGATATCAAACAGGCAGAAACTATCCCTTCCTTTGATCAGTTCCAACATTTCCTCATAAGCACAGCCCCTCTTCTACAGCTGACTCCCTCCTGTTTATCTCAAGACTTGGACTTTGTTATATTTTGGAGACCCTCATGTGTCAGATTTGACTGCAGCTGACTAACAGGTTGAAAACTGTCAGGGAGAGAAGAGCGGAGGATTGGGCATCCAGGCAGACCATGATCACACAATCTCTTCAGAAGGAAAACAGGCCAGGACTTTGCCAGCAGATTGCTGACAAAGGTGGAAGTAAGCTATAGGACATATGTTCTGTACTCAGGAAGGCTAAACTGGAAGATACAGCCCCACATACCTACTTTCCTGTAAGCGGAGATATTTTATTATGACATAATGAATTTACCGTGATTGTTACAGGTGTAAGTATTAAGGCATAAATCACAATTCAGTATATAACTATATTACAATCTGCTCAGAAAAATACACAGTAAAATATTACTCAAGGAAAATAATTAGTATGTAATTTGACTGTGGGCAGGAGTTTCAATAGAGGGAAGAAGCATTTTGAATGTGTACGTAACACATCTTCCTGCGCGAGATCTTCCTTCAGTACATAGTACTGAAGTGTTAGTATTTGCAAGATTACCAGACAGATCTCAGGAAAACAAACAAATTGAGGTAATTGAAGTAATAGACAATTAATGTATTATGAGTATGAAATTCTGGTGTTCAGACCAGTTGTGTTTTCAAATTTTCCTCTGCAATAATTAGGAAATGTAGTGTGGCACAATACTAGAGCTGAACTTATGCAGCAACATTTGAGTGCTGACTTAGACAAGCGGCTGGGAAGCCCCATTTATGGAAGACACTGTCAAAAGCTTTTGTTGTTGTGAAATCATAGTAGTATGTGGGGTTGTGGATGGGTTATGTGTATACCAAAGAGGCAGACTGAGAGGATTGTTTAAATGAGGATTGAGAGAAGACCATGAGTTTCCATGAAGACACACAACAGGACCATAAGAAAAGTTACCAACTGAGTTTGTTTCAAGAACGTGCTTTTCTAAATGGTCTATAAGCTTTAGAAATTGGGTGAAAATTATCAGCTTTCACTGTTTAATAAAAAAGTAGCTAGTGCTTACAGTCAAGGAGATAGGACGGCAGCACAATTAGAGATTGCTACTGCAACTTGTTGGGGTGCCCACAGCCATGAACAAACATGCTGTGGTCTTCTTGCCACGACAACTGGCCACACATCAGAGAATTACAGAATACAGTGGTTTGTGTTGGAAATACTCTCCTCTGGACCTGTTCCAACACGTCCATGCCTTTCTGGCATGAGGACTCCAGAGCTAGATATAGAAGCCAGAGGGGAAGAATCACCTTCCTCAACCTGCTGGCCTCATGTTTTTTGATGCAGCCCAGTGTTCAATTGTCTTTGGGCTGCAAATGCACCTTGGCAGATCATGTCATTTTTCATACACCAGTACCGCCAAGTCCTTTTTCACAGTGCTGCTTTCAATCCATTCACTCAGTCCATTGGGAAGACCCTGTGCGAGCACTTGCACTACCTGCCTAAGAGGAAAGCAGGGCGCTGCACCTTTGCTCTCTAGCCCTCAGCCTCATTTTTGATTCTCTGTTACTTTTGGTGCAGCTGCAGCTGCGGCCGGAGGGCTGCGGGCGTGAGGGGGTGCGGGGAGAGGAGGCCGGCCTGGGGAGCCTGGCGGGGCCCAAGCGAAAGCAGTCCTGTGCAGCAGCCGTTAGAGCTGGGGGGCCAGGCCGAGGCAGCGAGAGGCCGGGCAGGGCCGGGCGGCCATTTCACCGCCGCCTCCATCCCGCCCGCCGTTGCCAGGGTGACCGGGGCAGCGGCGCCCCCGCCCCCGGCCCCGCCCCGCGGCCAATCGAGGGGCGGCGGCGGCCGAGAGAGGTTGCCTTTGTTCAGCCATTTCGGGGGCCGGAGCGGCGCCGCCGGAGCTGCGGAGGGAGAGGTCGGGCCGCTCCCTCGCCACTCCCCTGCCGCCGGGCTCTGGGATGGTGTGGGTACGTGTCCGGGTTGCGAGGGGCGGGGTGGGACGTCCCATCCCCAGTAGTCCCCAGCACCGCCGCGTGCCCCGGCCGATGTCACGGGCCTTCGCAGTGCTGTTGGGCGGGGAGCCGGTGGGGTCTCGGCCGTGGGCTGCCTCTTCCGCTCTTACCGGGGATGGACGGACGGCTGGACGGACGGCTGGATGGATGGATGGATGGATGGATGGATGGATGGATGGATGGATGGATGGATGGAGTTACGGGGTAGGCAGCAGCTGGAACCTGAGGATCCGGGCAGACCCCCAGATACCCCCTCCAGCCCCCTCTTTCCGCCGGCTCCTCCCGGAGTGACGGCTGGCGCCTCTCCGCAGCATTGTGCCGGAAAGTGAAAGTCGCTTCAGGATAGAGGAACGTGGCCCTATTTCCTACAGTGGTTTCTGGCATGTGTGGGGTCCTTCTGTACCGATTTTCGTCGGTGGGGTTTTAAATTTTTGTTCCGAAATATTAGGCAAGAAATCTCGTGATTGTCTAGTACTTTCGTTTGCATAGGAAGGTCGTTAATTTAGGTACTCAGTGGAAATTGACAGTGGAACTTGTGAACCTTCTGTGGGGTGACTGTACAAAGGACAAGAACGCTTTCTGGGCTGATTAGTCTGCCATATATTTGTTTCCTTGCTGTGAAGGTTATAATTCCTCTCACTTGACTTTCTGCTCGAGACCTGAGAAATCTTCCTACTACTCTGAGGTTTGTTCTGCGATGAATTCAGGCCACCACAGCTTAACCTGTTTGCTTGTCCTCTTGCATAGTTAAGTACTCCTTAATGTGACATTCGAATACATCAAAGGTGTGGTTAAATCCTTACAATCCGCGTTGAATAAAAAGTTGACTTTTGTTCCTTCTGTAAATGAGTAATTGAACAGAAAAAAAGAGTCATATACCCAAACTCTTAAAAGGAGCCTTTGATAGAATTGGAAACTGAGCCCATAAGTCTTCACTCTACATCTGCTGTGTGAACTGTAGTTATTTTTGAGTGGTATGTGGGAGGATGGAGAAAGGTGCCTACGGTTGAGAAGAATAGTTTCTGTATTATCAAAATTACTTAAGAATGCATTTTTCAAGATTTAGCTAGCTTATACTCAAAGCAGGGTAAGAAAAAGAATAGTTATGATGGTGCAAAGACAGATTAAAAGCAGTATATTGACTGTGTTAAAGGAGGAGAGCTTAGATTAGAATGAATATTGACTAAGGACCATGATTACTGTTGGAAACAGGCGATGGCACCTTTCATTGACTAATACAGGTGCAAGCATAGCTGCTAAATTGAGCTATGCCTTGTGACAGGGAGGTTAAGACAACATAATAATGGCTTTATGAATGTAGGCTTTTACTGGTTTATCTGACACACTTTTCTGTTGTATTTATTTAGAATCCAGTTAAGGAGTTCTTTTATGTGGATATTCAATAAAGCAGGTATGTGTCCTTAATTTTTAGCTTCAGGGATGGGGCCTGAAACCTTTTATAGTCACGTGATAGGTATGCACAGAACTGTTCAGCATACTGGCAGTGCTCTGTGGTAGAGTACATCCTGTTCATACTTCAGACACACCAAGATGCTATGGCTACAAAGGAGAGTGGAGGGAAGGCCAAGTACAATCCTCCTCCATCAAAGCTGGTGTTCAGAATCTTCCCAGTTAAAGACTGGGGCTGAAATAGAGACTGATATTTTATCTTTTAAATGTCTTAATAATAAAGATCTTCTGTCATGGATCCAGTGTTGTCAGTGTCATAAAAAAGGTTTATGTCATAACAAATTTACAACAGTTTTATGAACTTGATATGCACTGATCAGTGTGTTATCATCAAGTTGTGACAGTAACATAAAACAGGGAGGATTTTTTCTTTGTTTTGTGTTTGAAAGGCTAGGACTGCTTTTCTGTTACTTTCATGCCTTAATATGTTGTGATCAGTTTTGATCACAGAAATAAATTCCACCCATTAATTTAGTTCCAAATTCTACAAGTATTTAAGTACATGTTACAGTAGTATGCTCCAATCACTGAATCCACTGCTTTCCACTCACTGTTTTACAGTATTGATTTGGATAATTGTGGTAGCTTTTCTACATACATTGATAGATTTCAGATATATACTATACAATGTTTTTATTGCATGTATTGTACATATATAAATAATAATACATTCATATACAGAAATATACTAATATAGCTATATTATACAAGTCATACTGAAATTATTTTAAATGTCTCATTGAAAGAGATATAGTTGTGTAGATCCACTGTTTATGTGTGTGACCTGTCATGTACATGATAAAACACTGTACATATTTATGCTTGTATACATGGATGCCATGGAATATGGCTTTTTCTACTAACAATATGAAATAAACCTCCAAATGTCACTTTTAGCCTTTAGAGGGTTTTCTTTTCCAAACAAGGCTCCAGAGTGAAATTTAAACAATTGAAAACCAATTGTTTGTTAATTTCCCATGTACTGAATGCATTTGAAATTTTGAGTTTGTGTGTATATGTCTGCATCTAGTGTGTATGTCCTTGTCTATGCGAGTCAAATTTCAAGGCATAAATGAAATAAAATTTGTGTTTAAAGAAAATTTTTGCATTTTAAACCTTGACTATAGAATCATACTCTTAAATTATTCTTCTATTAAGTAATTTAATTTTGTAGAGCATTTTCTGCAAGTCATTGTGTGATACCCTTAAATACTGATAACATGCTGCTTATGGTGAGCCTTCCACTAAGTTAGTTTAAATATTAGGTCAGTGCTATATATGAAAGAAGAAAAGACAAGACAAAATGTTTTCAGCAGAGAATAGAAAATAGGTGGTACAAAGATGCTTACTGTCTTAGAATTCAAAAAGAGCACACTTGCAGAAATGATGGTGTGATAGGACAGACCAGATGTTCCCAAACTTAGTAGGTATATGATCATCATCATCAGTCACTTCTGGCATCCAGGGTCATGCTTTTCCAACCATGCCAAACCAGAGCCTCATCTGTGGCTCTTCTCCCACCTTCCCTACTGCACGTTCCTATCATTCAAGCTTACATTGCTTTTTTTTTTTTTTTTCTCTTCACATTTAAGCTTTTCTATCTGTTCTTGCACCCATAAAAGTTTATTCTTTATTTCAGACTTCAGTCATGTAATTTCTCCTCCACATACCCATATCATCAACCTTGACTTCCAGAAAGAAAAAGTGGAACTTTGGCTTCCCCTGCATTCATGTACCTCCTTAATACTGTTCTTCCTACTTTACTGTGTCTTGGTCCTCTTCTTCTATCCTGAACCAGAAGTGCATTCTGTGTGGGGACAGCAGAGCTGTTCATTGTGTTGAATGTGGGTGGTGTCTGCAGTAGTTCCTAACTGTTCCCACAGGTTTTATGGAGGCCAAGGCGCCATTGCTATGCTGGCTGTATAGGAGCAGTGAGACACAGAATCTGTGGCTCAGTTAAATTTTGAATGTAGCATGGAAACAGTCATAAGTGGCATTTGTGCTACAGTTTAGCCACCTTTTTTATAGACAAGGAAGGAAAATCAGTAGCAGGCAAGCATGGAAAGCCAAGAGTAATTTTCATCAGAGACTAAAAAGAACACATTGCTTCTTCTACTAGATAAGCTAAATCAGTGCAAAAATCCAAACAGATATTTCAGTCTGTTTTACATCAGTGTTTCTTGAGTCAATCCATCAGGAAAAAAAAAGCCAACCTTAAATTAAAATAAATTATTTTTCCTTGTGCAGACAGGCCCCAAGCCTTGTCTTTAGAAATCAGGAGTGACTGCAGTCCATTAAGTGTAATGCAAATAGATGAATGTTGCGTAAGAGGCAGAAGCTTCAGTTGTTGAATCTGACCCATGAAAAGTAGTTAAAACCAAGCAAGATGAGCTTTGAATGGGAGCTTTTGAACAAATAGGAATCACATTAAAAAGAATACAAGACTCATGTAGTTGCATTCTTTGCTTGTATGTGAGAAAACAGACTCCACATTGGTGTCTGGAGCAGAGATGCTTTTGGAGCCTGTTGAAAAAGGAATGGAAGTAGGTCAATTGATGAGGGGAAGTGGTTGGTTTAAAAAAGCTTAATGTTGTTTCATTATTCTCTGTAACACAGAGAGCATATATGCCCTAAGTGCAAATATATTTCAGATATCTTCCTGTCTTAACATTTTTTAACATTCCATAAATAAGAATTTATTTGATCATTCGATTACATTGACAAATGAGTTCAGACACCTCCTTCCGAAATGTTCCATGTATCCATAAAAGACTTCGTATAGTCTCCTTCCGTTTCTCCACTAAAAAGTGTAACACACTGTAACTTCACAATTCCTTGCTTCTGGAGAATCCCTATTCCCCCAGGAGGTAACTGTTGGTTTTCTGAGCCAATAAGTACTTGTAATATATTTTACAATCTGTGATGATAGTATGTTTCTCAGTTTAGCAAGGAATCCTGTCTTAAACCTTGTCCATTCCAGTGGTTCTCTTAATTTCTTTGTGATTACACAGAATCAAAATAGCAAACACAAATGAAATACAGCACAATTGGCAGTATTCAAAGCATCCCTTATTTGCATTGTACATTTCAAGGTATGCTGTGTTTTGGTTGCTACTTCCAGTTGCAGTCTTTTCAGATGTGGGGTGGAAAAGATGATGCTGAAAAGAGAATTCTAGGTTAGTCTTGCATATAAACACCACAGTGTTCAGCTGTGGATTGTTTTGTTTGTTGTTTCTATTTTTAATTTCAGATATTGTTGTACAATGTTATAAAGATTAAATATTTATTTTAGCTATGAGAAAATTAATAGACTATATAAAACTGCATTTTCTACTATTTTAAATATTTTAATAGTTGAATTTTTGTATCAGCACATGAGATTGAGAATCACCAGACAATTGAGAATACTGTCCTTACCTTGTTTCTTTTTGTTCTACGTAACATGGCTAATGGATCATAGCGAGCCTTTGATAGTTTTAGCTCCA